GGTGGCGAACCGGAGGCAGCCACTAATGGCGACGTTGAGAAAAGGGCGCCAACGGCAACAGCGGCTGCGCCCGCCAAGAAGAAGAACAAGGGCAAAAAAGCCGGCGGCGGTCAAACAGATCCACCCACCATACCCATTTCAGAGCTCTTTGCCAATGGCAACTATCCGGAGGGTCAGATTATGGAGCACCCTACGCCAAAGGATCTGCCGGACGATCGTACGGCCAAGGATCGCTTTTCATCCGAGGAGAAACGTGCTTTGGATCGCATGAATAACGACATTTACATGGAGCTGCGTCAAGCGGCCGAGGCACATCGCCAGACTCGTCAGTATATGCAAAAGTATATCAAGCCCGGCATGACCATGATACAGATATGCGAGGAACTCGAGAATACCGCACGTCGGCTAATTGGCGAGAACGGACTGGAGGCCGGCTTGGCTTTCCCAACCGGCTGCTCGCTTAACCATTGCGCTGCCCATTACACGCCCAATGCGGGCGACACCACGGTGCTTCAGTATGATGATGTTTGTAAAATTGATTTTGGCACTCACATCAAGGGACGCATCATTGATTGCGCCTTCACGCTGACATTCAATAATAAGTACGATAAGCTGCTGCAGGCCGTCAAGGAGGCGACCAATACGGGCATTAAGGAGGCGGGCATCGATGTGCGTCTATGTGATGTGGGCACAGCCATTCAGGAGGTGATGGAATCATACGAAATTGAATTGGACGGCAAGACCTACCCCATCAAGGCTATTCGTAATCTGAATGGACACTCCATTAGCCCGTACCGTAAGCGAGAATACCAGTTTCCGTTACGTAGGTTCACATCTAACGTATTTTTCCATTTGGTTTCCTGCAGGCATTCATGCTGGCAAAACTGTGCCCATTGTCAAGGGCGGCGAGTCCACACGCATGGAGGAGGATGAGTTCTATGCTATTGAAACCTTCGGCTCCACAGGTCGGGGCCTGGTGCACGACGACATGGACTGTTCGCATTATATGAAAAACTTTGATTTACCATTTGTGCCGCTTCGCCTGCAGTCCTCTAAACAGCTGCTGGGTACCATTAACAAGCATTTCGGCACGTTGGCCTTCTGCAAGCGTTGGCTGGATCGCGCCGGCGCCACCAAATACCAAATGGCACTCAAGGATCTATGCGACAAGGGCATTGTTGAGGCGTATCCGCCTCTGTGCGACACCAAGGGCTGCTATACGGCCCAGTATGAGCACACCATTATATTGCGACCCACATGCAAGGAGGTGGTATCGCGCGGTGATGATTATTAAAATCATGAATATATCGGAACATGAAACGTTTAAACGGCATTACATTTGTAGCATGCATTACATTAACATTAACTACAGTTTAATTTCTATAAGTTCATGCGATTGTTGAATTTTTGTGTGTGAGAGAGTAAGCGTAAAGCGATTTCAATATACTGTGCAATTGTGTTAAGCAATTCACATAAGCGAAAATGTTGTTCAACAATATTATTATTTTTCTGGCGGCTGCTGTCGTAACTCCTGACGCCAATACCACTCCATGCCGCTGGGCATCAACTCGTTCCAGTTGAGTGACTTATTCAGATCATTGGCTTTGCTGCTCTCCTTGGGACTTTTGTATGCCCTGTAGTAGAAGACAAACCATTTGCCTGTTAGATAATAAAGAATTTCAATATAACTGATAATGCTGAAGCCATACATCAGCGATAAAATGCCACCAAAGCGATCTACAATGAAATGGAACAGTAAACAATGCGATTAAACATACTTTTTAAATAGAGCATTGGCATATATAGATAGCACAAGCTGTGCGCTTTAAGCTAATATGATTGTTTTAAAGAACAATTTGAATCGCTCAATGCTTGCATTCGACTCTTATAAATAGCTTAAGCTGCAGCTTTAAGCTTACAAATTGTATAAATATTAATTAAGAGCTTTTATAGCATCGAGTTGAGAATGTCCGACTAGGGAATGCGTTGTGACCAGCTCCTAAGCACGCTGCTGTGCTTCCTTGAGCCTACACAACGATTTGATGCCTTAATTGTTACAAAATAAGCAGGCATTTAAGATGGTATTCTAATAATTTATACTACAATACTACAAATTAACTTAATATTTAATACAACTTTCTAAATTTGACTCTAGTCTCTCAAATGGACTTATGTATGACGACGGACAGACGGATTCCCTACTGCCCATGCTACTTTATAGGAAGTCAGAAGACTTCCTTTGGGTACAATGGGTTCAGTTAGTATGATGCTTATACATAGTATAATTATTAGTTATTAGCTTAAAACTAGTTAATTCTTAAACTCAACTGAGCAACACAACCCAATCGCCAACCATATCCATTTGTGTGGCCTGAGCAAAACGCAACTTGAAGAACAATTTTATAATGGACAAAGGACGATCGTTGTTCAGGCCCTTGCTGGAATTAGCAGAAGATCAGCATAAACTCAAAAGTAACTCCAAAAGCTAAGTACATACAGTAGACCACGATTATAACCCGATGAATTGTAGCTTTTGCGCAGCGGCGCCACATTGCTGATGATCTCAAAGTTGACGCCGTCGCAGGTGGGCAGGCAGTGGAGGCATTGCGATACGCTGGCGGCATCCTCCTGCACGTAGGGATACTCATTGTAGCCATACCAAATGTTACGCCATTTCATCAGGCACGGCAAATCCAGAAGCGTGCAGTAGCTCACATTGCGTGCTGTGCCGGCCATGGGCGAGGAGACGCAACCGCAGTGCTGCACCATGCTCTCAATGCGACACAGCAGGATGCACTCGTCCAAAGAGTAGTAGGATCTGTAAGGCATGAACGATAGTCGCTTGGCTGCAGGAATACTCCATTCACTCACTGATTCAACAGCTGCCTGCCCTCCTCGGGAAAGTAACAGCGACGTATTTGTGGCGTGACACCGCGAACCGCGTTGCTGGAGTCAAAAAACTTGGGCTGTATGGGCACCTCTACAATTGTATTATGATCGACTAGTAGTTCGCCATGTTTATTGGATTGTACTGTAGCGTAATCTTCCTGTGGGAATATCATGAGCTGCAAGGTAAATAAATGTATATATTAAATTAACATAACGTAAAGGAGTTAAAAGCGTAACGTCTGACAACCATAGAAGTATTAACAGAATCGATATCGCAACAGTTAGTGTTAGCATGGTTAATCGATAAGTGCTTTATGAATATCAAACATACCAAACATCGTCAAATTAGTCGATATCGTTTCTGACAATTTGGCCGCTGTTAACCGAAAAGTGCTTTGAGTTGCTGCTAGGAAAAATCCTTCTTTGGGATATTATGAATAACAATCAAAGGGAAAAAATTACCATTTTGTTAAGGATGGAAGTCTAACGCATCTAAAACAGTTCTTTAACATTGATCGTCAAATTAATTGATATCGTTTCTGTTTATTTTGGCACTGTTAGTCGGAAAGTGCTTTAAATTGCTGCCAGAAAAAATCCTTCTAATATCCCAATATGAATACCAACCATAGGGAAAGAGGTACAATTTAACATTGATTGCCAAATTAATCGATATCGTTTCTGTTAATTTTGGCGCTGTTAATCGGAAAGTGCTTTTTGCTAAGTGTGTATTTCGATGTGTGAGCGCGTCAATATATATAAATTGTGCGGTTTTAAAACAAAAAGTGATTAATGTACCCGAAATGCCGTGTTGCTGAGATATCTTTCTGTTAAATCATCCTCTTGTATGTCCTGCAAAACAAACTGTATGCCATTAAGTATGGAATTCGATTCAAATACAACCTGCGGCAGTGCAGACATTTCAGCGTCATCTTGAGCGCGCTGAGAGCTGCTTAAAGACATAAAGCAGGTAAAAGAAGCCTTTAATAGTGTATTATTATTACTATTATTATTACTTACGGGTACTGTGAGTAGCTGGGTCGTCTGTAGTTAAATATGCAGCACACACTCGCCGTTGTTGACCGCTTGAGAAACAGTTGACTTGTGTTGACGGGCGCGCCATAGATGAGCCCGCGCAGCACCAGGTCGTCGCAGTCGGGCGACAAGTCTCTCAGTATATCGTGCACCGAGTACCCGCTGCCATTATAGTAGCTATTGAGCAGCCCATGAAGCTGACCCAATTCGGCGACGTCCAGCGGCGCCTCGTCGTGCGCATTCAGGTAGAAGTTCGACAGCACCAGCAGGCGGCGCGCCAAATTGTCCGCATCTAACGGGACGTAGCGGCTGCCATTGCCAACTGTTGTTTTGTGCATGGACTGGTGCTGATAGCTGTGAATCGGGTGGGATATTAGCATGCTAGCTGAGTGTGAATTTCAATTGGATTCTTGTTAAAACCAAGGCAAATACACTAGAACATAGTTGGTTATCTTCGTGTAACCGCACTTTAAATACCCTGTCGATTCACCCAATGACAACTTTTTAATATAGTGAGACGATCGGTGCGACTTCGACTGTCTGCAATAAACATGGTCTATGCTCAGTTTACTTTACAGCTGATCAAAAACATATATATGTATATCTATATAGGGTAATATAATATATTTAATGACGCATTTATAGTACCCTCTGGCAGTGTATAACGATTTATAAACGAATCGACTTAGAGCTGTCTCTCAGGAATAGTTAGACTTAAGCATTCCAGACGCTTTCGTCTATGTCTGATTCCAGACGCTTTCGTCTATGTCTGATCAGGCTGCATTTACGGGCCAAGTTTTTTATGACTGGCTAGTTTCGAAATTTTAATTCAAGACTTGCAATTTTCGGTCTACGTCACGTTGGATTAATTTACAGTCGAGATGTTTTCTGATAAGTGCATTGCCTAGATTATATGAGATTGTTTCAATTCTTAAATATCATTCGCAAAGTCCAAGGACTATAAATAAGATTTGATCGATTGACTTATCAGCAATGTCTGTATCAGAGACATGTTTCAGGGCAAGCAAACCAAAGCCTATAAAAGCACATCACACGACTGCGTGTTCTTCATACCAACGGCAACCATGTCGCTGAACAAGTCGCTTCTTTTCGCCCTGTTGGGCCTATTGGCCACATTTGGATTGGCTCAGGCGGAGCGTGTCCGATATGACAACTACCGTCTATACAAGGCCAATGCGGAGAACGCTGAGCAACTGGCTGTTCTCAAGCAACTGGAAGGATCTACGGATTCCATCAAGTTCCTGGATGGGGTTCACATTGTTGGAGCTGATGTCCAGATGGTTGTTGCCCCACACAAGGTGCCTGATCTACTGGAGCTGCTGGGAAAGGCTGAGATCAAATATGAACTACAGTCTAAGGATTTCCAACAGTCCATGGATGAGATTGAGGAAAAAGTAGCCATCAAAGGTCGCGCCAGCGCTGAGTACAATTGGGTTCAGTACTATGAACTGGATGATACCTATGCCTGGTTGCAGTCATTGGCCAAACAATATCCTCAGATCGTTACATTGATTGAGGGTGGCAAAACTTATCAGGGCCGTTCTATTTTGGGCGTGAAAATTTCCAAGAGCGGCACCGAGAAGCCTGGAATATTCATTGAGGCTGGTATTCATGCACGCGAGTGGATCGCCCCTGCGGCCGCCACCTATATCATCAATCAACTTCTGACCTCGGACGTGGAATCTGTTAGGCAGCTGGGTGACAATTACAACTGGTACATCTTTCCCCATGCCAATCCCGATGGCTATGTCTACACCCACACCAAGGATCGCTTGTGGCGCAAGACCCGCACACCCTATGGCAGCTGCTATGGCGCTGATCCTAATCGCAACTGGGGCTTCCACTGGAACGAGGTGGGCGCCAGCAACAGCGCCTGCTCTGATACCTATGCCGGGCCCTCGGCCTTCTCTGAGATTGAGACTCAGTCGCTATCCAACTACATTGCTTCGCTTAAGGGCAAAATTCAGCTCTATGTGTCCTTCCATGCCTACTCGCAGTACCTCCTATATCCCTATGGCCATACCAAATCCTTGCCTGACAATGTCAAGGACTTCCAGCAGGTCTTCAAAGCAGCAACTGCTGCGGTCTCCCAGCGCTATAACACAAAATACACTGGTGGCAACGTTTATGATGCAATCTACCCTGCCGCAGGCTCCAGCACTGATTGGGCCTATGGCGCTCAGGATGTGCGCATGTCCTTCTGCTATGAGCTGCGTCCCTCCTCCAACTCCTATGTGACCGGCTTCAAGCTGCCCGCTACACAGATCATACCCGCAAGCGAGGAACTCTTGGACTCCATCACCGCCATGGTTGGCGAGGTCAAGAAGTTGGGCTATTTCGATTAAAGATTTGCACAATAAACGACTCACATTTTGGAAGCATAGCTTTGCATTAGACGTCTGCTGATCATATTGGAGCTGCAGACACCCACAGCGGGAAAGGGGCTGTTGGACACGTGCACCAGATTGGGTGCCATGTGGATTTCAGTGGGTTGGTCAATGTACTCGAGCGTTAGATTGATGATAACGATGTGTGTCCACACAACAATAATAGCGAGGAACGCCACCCAGAGGGCTCTGTCAATAGATAGATAAATTAGTTAAATAGATACGTTACTTTGTTTACCAAAAGGGAGATGTAGATGCATTTCTGCTCACTTGGCGTATTGCACGGGCGTATGTAGCAGCAGAGGTTGTAATCCACTAATATAGCTACTGCGCAGAAAATCTTTAAAGAGTTTCCGAAAGTTCGATTCCACTTTAGTTATTTGCGCCATGTTGATGTCTTCACTAAATGGGAGCAAGTCACCATTCGCTGTATGGAACCGACTCTGGTTGACTCAGCTCATCAATCAGAGCTCGTCCAATTTGAATATGTCACGGCAGGACAGTTGCTGTCAAAGTTTGATGGGCCAGAATGATTGATATACTTAAATAGGGGTTGAATTTATCTACTTATTATCCTGTGTGAAATTTAGTAATTTCTTCATACTTGATTTCTCATTTACCATTTAAGGAAATGGTCAAATAATTCCTGATTTCACGAGTGTAAAAGAATAAAAATCCAAAATAGTAGTTGGCCATACTATGAGAAGATGAATAAGCGATTATTGAAAAGCTGAACGGGGCAGGCCGAAAATGTAAAAAGATTCCTTATCTCAAGTCTTATCAGTGCGCCTAATCAGCCTGGCCAGCTGGTTAGACCTTTAACTCAGATTGAATCTGTGAGAGTTATCAAGAAATAATAACAAATCTCCTTCAATTTCTCACCCAAATTCAGTCAGCTTCTTCAATCTGACAAACATGCCCTATTATAAAACTTGGTCGTTAATCTTACTCTTTTCTGCAGAAGTCATTGTTTTATAGACAATCCCCATGTTTCTGAAAGAAGCTGCGACTATATGCGACATCATACTGAACCTTTTTATACCCATTATTTATACTTAAGACTTGGAGTACATAGTGGGTGATCTTCTCTTAAGAATCGGTTTAAAAATCAATACTCATTTAGAATCAGAACCTAGTCATTTCGGGAACAGTAATAGTTTTACAAACTACCGTCCGAATAGTGTCTAAAAAGACTTCATTCAAATTCTCAGCCCAATTAACCGTTAGGGTACTTAGGCACTTAAATGCGTTACGTTAGCCTTCCTTGGCTCGTATTCAATTTATAGACTGCCAGTCACCCAATAATACAGGGTTAAACCCAAGTGTTTTATGAGTAGTTTAAATGGAACTCTTGATTTTTATGAAATCTACAAAAAAGTTGTTAATTTCTTTAAAAAAATATTGACAATAAAAATATTGATAAGGGCTTAGACGCAGATAACTCTTTTATTTATGTCTCCAAACATTGACGATTTAATCCCAAGGGTTATAAATAAGATTTGGCGAATTGACTTATCAGCTCTTATCACAGACGTTATGCCCAAAACCCCATCGACTATATAAACCAACCACGCGAAATCGTATTGTTTATACCAACGACCACCATGTCGCTGAATAAGTTGCTTCTCTTTGCCCTGTTGGGCCTTCTGGCCACTTTTGGATTGGCCCAGGCGGAACGTGTCCGTTACGACAATTACCGTCTCTACAAGACCAATGCGGAGAACGCCAAGCAACTGGCTGTTCTCAAGCAACTGGAGGGATCTACGGATTCCATCAAGTTCCTGGATGGAGTTCACATTGTTGGAGCTGATGTCCAGATGGTTGTTGCCCCTCACAAGGTGCCCGATCTATTGGAGATTCTGGGCAAGGCTGAAATTAAATATGAGCTGCTGACCAAGGATTTCCAAAAGTCCATGGATGAGGTCGATGAGAAAGTGGCCATCAAGGGACGTGCCACCGAAGAGTACAACTGGGAGCAGTACTATGAACTGGACGATACTTACACCTGGATGGTATCTCTCGCTAAGCAGTACCCACATGTTGTTACATTGATTGAAGGTGGAAAGACCTATCAGGGACGTTCAATTTTGGGTGTCAAGATCTCCAAAAGCCTCAGCGAGAAGCCTGGCGTTTTCTTGGAGGCTGGAATTCATGCCCGCGAGTGGATTGCCCCTGCGGCAGCCACCTTCATCATCAATCAGCTACTTACCTCAGAAGTAGAATCCATTAAGAATTTGGCGGATAATTATAACTGGTACGTCTTTCCTCATGCCAATCCCGATGGCTATGTCTACACGCACACCACGGACCGCATGTGGCGTAAGACTCGCACTCCATACGGCAGCTGCTTCGGTGCTGATCCCAACCGTAACTGGGGCTTCCACTGGAACGAAGTCGGTGCTAGCAGCGATCCCTGCTCCGATACTTATGCTGGACCGTCGGCCTTCTCTGAGATTGAGACTTCATCGCTGTCCAACTACATAGCCTCGATAAAGGATAAGATTCAACTTTATGTTTCTTTCCACGCTTACTCGCAGTACCTTCTGTATCCTTATGGTCACACCGGCGATTTGCCTGACAATGTAAAGGACTTCCAGCAGGTGTTTGATGCATCTATTGCGGGCGTAGCCCAGCGCTACAACACGAAATACACTGGTGGCAACATTTATGATGCCATTTATCCTGCTGCTGGTGCCAGCGTTGATTGGGCCTATGGCACTCAGGATGTGCGCATGGCCTTCTGCTATGAGCTGCGTCCCTCCTCCAATTCCTTTATTACTGGTTTCAAGCTGCCCGCTGCACAGATCATACCCGCAAGCGAAGAAGTGCTGGACTCCATTATCGCCATGGTTGGCGAGGTCAAGAAGCTGGGATATTTTGATTAAAAATTTGCTCAGTAAACGATTCACAAAGTTTTTCAATAGATAGAGTAATATACTCTTGCATTAGTTGGATTTCAACTAAGTTAATTGGGCAATGCCACTGCATGTTATTGCATGGAATCAAATAATGAACCACGTTGTAGACCTATTTACACTTGCTGTCAAAATGTGATATCCCAGAACGATTAATGCCCTTGCTTGGGTGATGATCCTAATCGCAATTGGGACTTCCACTGGAACGATGTAGGCGCCAGCAACAGCGCCTGCTCTGTAACCTATGCAGGACCCTTTCTCTTCTCTGAGATCGAGCTCTTTTCGCTGTTCAACTACATTGCCTCGATAAAAGACAAGTTCCAACACTATGAGTCCTTCCACGCATTCACTCAGTATCTGCTTTATCCTTATGGACATGCCAGCGATCTGACTGTTAATATAAAAGACTTCCAGCAAGTGTTAAATGCATCTATTGCCGCAATTGAAGCTATCTATCCTACCACAGATGACAGAATTGATTGGGTCTAGGGCACTCAGAATGTACGCTTGGCGTTCGTCTATGAGCTGTGGACCCCGTGGTATTTATCAGATAGTTTCAAGATGTCACTTAAGAGATATTGAGAGCACAGAGTAGAGGCTCCCCTTAGATCTATCTCTAATAAAATAGGCGAATGTTTCCTGTGAGCTAAATAATTTAATTTGGGCAAGTGCTATCAAAAAGTTTGTACAGTAGTTTTCGCTGGATTTAATCTCGTTCTCTATTGATATAGTTAAACACAGGTCGAAATGTAAGAAAGTATACAAATTCAAAGGCCGTGACAATGCTGAAGCCAAGTATAAGACCTAGCAGGCCGCCAAATGATGCTGCAGATTGTAAAACCAAAAGAAACGTTTTTATATAAACAAAGGATCGAGGTTTTTATTAATGTGAACTCACCCAGTGCCGATAGCCAGTTCTGAAAGATCTCCATACGATATCTGGTGGACATTAAGTCGCTATAGAAGACGTGCACCAAGATGCTATCTGTTTGATTAGAACTAATGATTTGAGAAGCTTAATCAGATTGTGGAGACTTAAAGTATATTAGTGAACATCTTGCCTGCTGGTCATTTTGTTGCCGGAGTAGCTTATATCGAGCCTGCCCATGGTGCTCTCTGACACATATAGATTCGACTCGCAGTCGGGCAAACAGTTGCAGGGAAAACTATTCGTTTGCCGGACTACGGAAAGCGGGGCGTCTAGATTGGCCAGGGCGCGAGAAAATAAACCTGAGCATAGAGATAGTTGATATCATAGCTCATCCCACAATATTCTCTCTCTATTCCCCGTACTTACGTTTGCTTTCAATCATGCAGTTAAGGTTGAGCACGCCGCACACCTTGATGGAGGCATTGTGTGCTAGATAAGATGGCAGGCAACCACAAAGTTTTAGGGTCATGCGCATTCTGCACTCGAACATGCAATTGATGAAAGAGTAACGTGTCAGGCCATCGAGCTTGCGTTCGCTGCCAAAGAGGCAGTTCCTCCAGCGCAAGTCCATCTGGCGTATGTCCCTGGTGGCGTAGGTAGACTCTGGATTGATGCGCACAAAGCTCTCGCGTGTGGATGTGACTACCTTGGTCTCTGAGTTCTCATCCGGAAAATTATAGGCATCATGAATGAGCAGGCGAAAGCCAAAGCCGCTAAAGAAGGTGGCATAATAATCCTCGACCAAGGGATCGAGGAGCACGGATAGACCTGTAGGATAGCCACAGCCAGTGACACGATACGGACGCTTGGGAATCTGGTACGCGATTTTGCTATAACAGAAATATTTTCAAGGATTAGTGAAAGAGCTTTAACATACGTGTTAGATTTGGGGATATCAATAGCTTTTTCTTTATATCTTATTCCTGCTTTTTCTTGTTAGGAATACTTACATGGGAAAATTATTGGAAACGGCGCCAAAATAGTTGAAACTACAGCAAATACCCTGTAGAGTGGAAATGCGTTGAAAGAGGCTTTCACAACGCGTTTTGATGCCCTTCCAAATGCAGCGTGAGATCATGTCCAGGCAGTCGGGTGACAATCGATTGAACAGCTCCGTCAGGGTGATATTATTCAGATTCAATATCCTATCGTAGATCTGCAATGAACTATCGCTTATAAGTTTGCCCGTGGGAATCAGGGTTAAGTTAAAGAGTTGCTGCAGTTGCGCCTTGGTCACATTGGGTGGCAGTCGCCTGAAGAGGAGAAGTACTATAAGCTTGGGGGAACAGTTGCTGATCCACCTCTGATCCACACACTCACATGCGCTGCATCATGTCCAGGGCTTTAGTTTTGGACACTCTGTTGAAATTGCAAATGGTTACCGCTGGGAAGGGTATATTCCAGGTGGGAAAGTGCGAGCTCTCGATGACAGTCACCGTGGGTGTCTCACGATTCGAATACCACGAGACCAGCACCAGGGAAACGGCGGCTATAATTGCCGCTATCACCACGCCCAGCCAGAACCAACGCTCGTTCCGGCTAATATCCTGTCGTGTGATATAGCTGAATCCGTGCAGCGATGTTGTGTGGCAATAGTTCCGCAAACTCTCCATGAACCAAGTTCTCACCAGTCGCAGCTGATTTAATTTCCAGCGCTTGCGACTGGCCCCAGTTTTGGGTGTGTACACGGTGTGGCTGCTTTTCCTGTGGCTTTCGGTAGTTTTGCTGAGCTGCTGCTCGGATAGCACTTGGCGCATATCAAAGATCCGTCGCTTCTTAAAGGCCATGTTGAACACTTGAAGGTACTTCGAGCAACTGGCTTAGCATGGCCTTTGGCTAACCAGCTAATTAGCATGTCCTAATTACCACGGGCGGCCCGGCCCTTTGCTGTTGAAGAACTCGACGTCGCTGTCGATAGCGTATTTGTTGTCTGGTCAACCAGTTACAAGTGGGGCGCACACACACAAAGAATATTAGCTCGAACACAGATACGAAACTGCAGCCCATAAATAGGCCGGTGATGCCGCCAAAGGTGCCTGTCACATTACAAATGACAAGTACTTCATTAAATATAGGTATAAACGCACCTTAGATACAGGTGTACTTAGCTATAATGAACGTATATAATGCTTTGAGCTGCAAGCGGTTTTAGAATTTATTTTTTTAAAGCATTTTCCTTGATTTTCCGTGTTTCAAGAGAGAAAAGCTATGCAATTTGTACAAAGCACAAGGCTTTGTAACAGCTTTTGTGTTTATAAGTCTATTTGAGTTGAGTTCTTTTTAGCCCTGTTCAACTGTACTTGCCTATAAAAGTCAGCCAATTCTCATAGACATCCAATCGCAATCGCTCAGCGCTGAACGAGTCAAAATATATGCTTAGTAGCACCTCGTCCGAGCCATTAAAGTTCTTGCTGTTCTGGGGAAATTATAGTTATAAATATTAACTACCCCACTTAATAATCGAAAGCTTACAAAAAGCCATCATTAGCTTGAGGCATTGGGTAGCTGGCATCCAGGGTTGCCACATCGCTGTGCACTTCGTAACGGTAAAATTGACAAGATGGCAAGCAATTGCATACGCTCTGCAAGTGATCCCAGTTGTTAACTAGAGCAGATATAGAGTTGCTTATTAAATGGAGAGACTAGTAAATATTACCCGGCTTTGGCCGGCCAAAATATATTTGATTCAAAAAATTAGGAAAATGGGAAGAATTTTCCCTAGATCGAGTAGTTCGTCTTTAATAAATTTTTGAAAAAGATCTTTGGGAAAGATTTTCAAGCTGATCGAATGCAAAACAACAAAGAAGGAAGGAATGAATTAGAAAAAGTGACTGCTGTCATTAATTGAGCTTCGTGTATCTTCAAGCGTTTTATAAATTAAAGCTTACCCTGTTCCTGAAGGCATGCGAACTGTTCCAATTTACATAGGGGCCACTGCCAACGTCTGGGCATATGTGGATGGACACAGCCGCAAATTTGCAGCATTCTCTCGCTATGACACTCCGCCAGGCAATTATCCTGACTGTAAGCCGAATAATAGAACAGCGCCCGCTCATGGCTCAGATAACACCCGCGTTTGCTGGGCGCCAGACCGCCTATATAGGGCGTGGCATATGTACTGTACGGCTTCAGCATGAGCTGTGCCTCCGTACCTGTGGGCACCAGCACACGTTGTGTGGCTGCATGGATAACTGTATGCGGCTCATGTATAAACAACTGGAAACCTGCTGCGGCATGACGTGAACTTGCATAATCCTCCAGCTGGCTGGCTAAACGCAGAGTCAAACCTTTGGCTGGATTGCCAGCTGTGCTGCCGGGCGCCTGCTTGAAGCTGCAACAGCGTCCCTCACTGTAGCTCCAAGTGGTGGTCAGCAGCTGTTGACAATTTTGGGGCAAGCCCTGCCACTGGCAGCCTAAGATTTGTGCCTCACAGATCCGTGGCGCCAGCTGTTCCAGCAGCTGAGACCAACTGACGTTCGCGTAGGTCAAATCATTTAACGCCGTCTGATTAAACTGCTCCAAACTGCGTCCGCTTAACCAGGACACTTGCTGCAGCATTTGTGGCGCCACGGACCACTCTTTCGATTTAAGCAACAGCTGGCGGCTGGAGACGCGATTCAGGCTGCATATGCTCACCGCCGGATAGGGCAAAGGCTGCGCGGACATGGGCTGCAACATGCTCTCTATATACCGTATGGTCGGCGTTTCTGCCGACAGGCTATATGACATGGTCAGCACCAGGAGCGAGAGTAACAGCGCCGTGCAGATGAGCAACCACCAGAGCACACGCTGCCAAGTCTTGGCGCCCACGAATATATGAAATCCATGTATGCTCGACATTTCGCAATAGATCTCAAAGCCCGTCTTGGTTTTGCATAGACCATCATCATGGCGGGCGCGCAGAAAGCTCAGAAAGCTGGGCAGTGGCAGCTGTTCAAGTCTTTTGGAGACCAGGGCACGCTGTTTGCGCCACCATCTAAATAGCTTAAGTCTTTGGAGAGTTTTGTAGAGTTTATTACATCTGGATTTGGGTTTTTGCGGCTTATCGAAGCATTGTAGCGGCGTTATCTTGTGCCGCTGCTTGGGTCGCAGATAATTCTCATAGTTGATTAGATAAATGTGTGTAGGCGCCTCGGTTGGAGCACTTGCCATCTTTAATGTGATATTAGCTGTTGTATAATTATATTAAAACTTAATTCTCTTCCTCAGTGAATTAACAGTTTCTCTTATTTCAGTTGATTAGCTTTTCATACATCATAAGTGTGAAAGAGGTTAAATTGTAGTTTTGCAAATGCATTTGGAAGATATCTCTGTCCCTTAAAAGTATATCCATATATATATATCATCCTACCAGCTTATTCGATTATTTGTCTGTCTATCCAAACTGGAAAAAGTAGAATGAATATAATAAACAACGGATAGCAATTAATATGATATATATACCAAGATTGTAAAGCATTTTTTCATTCAAGAACAGCGAATCCTAAGTCTGAGCCGAAACATATTTTTTTAAAAATTATATTTTTTTTTACTTTCACTTTAGTTTATGACTGGATCTAAAATGAGTTTCATTTTTTGAGTTTGATCGAGAAAGTAAGGATATCATCGACCCGCGATATAATATTTTCCTTACGGTTTTGCAGATATGTGAGAGTAGTGAAGCTCGTAAATGCTAAGTTTAATAAAAAATATATTGGAAAACAGAATTTATCGCTATATAAAAACTTCTTTTTCGACCTATGTACTACTGCGACTAAATTTATCATATAATAGTGTAATAGTATGATTTTCTTTATTGATTTAACTTATGTTCGGGTGGCCTTTTTATTTTTAACAACACGTCTTCTTACTGCTAGTACTGTAGAGAGACTGCCTTCCACTTCTTCTCTGCAGCCGCTTTTCTTTATCGATATTACATTTGCTTCATTATCGATATATACTTATCGTACTGTTATAATTAACATAGATAGTGACACTATAATACCCTGGCTAGGGTTACCAATGATGCTCTTATCCTATTACAATAGTTCGACAATTATAACATCAAACTCATATGTATATAAGTAGTAATAAACGCCGAGTTTGGTTAAGATATCTTGGTAAACAAGATCCCTTGAAACTGTACGATAAGTTGCCCGATATTGATAAGATTTTGCATAGTGAGGAGCTATATGATATAGTAGTCCGATGCGGCCATTTTCAATATATGTACTGCCTGTCGGAGTTGTCTCCTTCTCGCTCTTAAACCTTTCAAGACAAACTTTTAATAATTTTTAAAAGGATAAAAATCGAAACCAATTTCGATAAATCAATATATGTCGATGTAATATTATTTAAATTATAACAAATTTAGTTGTGTCATTACGATCCAAAACCGGAGTTTGCGAACCAAAGGCTTGAACCGTAAAATGCACCAAACACATTCTTTGGCTTTGATATATATTTTATAAGATCGGATCTGCCACCTTTAATGTCTATTAATTAGATTCACTTTTCCCTATCTTCTTCTTCTATATAAACAATCTATATTTAGTCTGCCTTAGAATAAATATCGGTTGCACTCTGTTTTTCTTTCTTTTACTATCTATTTCCAAGTTTCCCAATTCATTTGCTTTATATATACTTTTCCCAGTGCCTCAATTCGAAATCGTTAGCGTTACGCCCATCTCATTAAATAGACTCTGCCACGCCCTTCAGCTGTTTCACATTTCGCTATCAATCGTTGCTCCTGGTCGAGCTGGAGGCTGATTACCTATATCAGTACGATTGTTACCTTCACACCTGTAGCAAATAAACAAAGTAAAAAAAAAAAGAGAAAGAAAAAGGAAAACAATTAAGCATTTGTTTATATGTGGGTAGCTACCGAGAGCTACCCCAGCGATAAGCATAACAAATAAATAATAATAGGAAATTGTTTACAACAAAATATTGTTTCCTATTCCTATAGAACAGTTGGACACAGAAGCAATTGCTTTTGTTGTTGTTGTTGTTGTTATAATGCATTGTTTAACTAATGAGTTTATTGTTGTTCTTGTTGTTATTTGAACTGTGCACACACCCACCCCATTCACCCATTCAGCCCACCACCCCCCACGCAATGCACCATTATCTCTTTGAAAGCCGAAAGGCATTGATAATGCTCACATATTATATATTCAGCTCGTGTCGCCTAACTGTAGCCCCTCAAAACCCCACTACCTTGACAGATATACGTAGTGCCCAAAAATAATACATCAAAGTCACGCGCAAGTTGGGCGTTAGAATTGGATATGGTTTGGTCAATGGTTATGGCAAAAGGCGACTCATTAACGGCCTTGTCATCCGATATCTATGTACAAAGTTCAACACATACATGTATATATTTATATATATATATCACTAACACACAGTAACAGCTATATAATTAGCGCAATTATCTGATAAAAGATGAGACTCTTGCTTGAATCCATTTGTGTGTATATATCTGGTAGTAAAATATTTAATATGCTGTATGGCTAGTGAAAAAAAAAACGTATGCCCTTATAAAGTCTGGGTAACCAGTATAAGTGTACCTAGAAGGTTTTATACCTTGTAATACTCTTGATCAAGATGATCTCTCGCTCTCTTGTTCTCTCTCTCTCATTTCTCCAAACAAACTATTCTCAGAGCTTTTAGGTTACCTTGAAACTTGGAAAAAGTTGACGAATATTGAATTTTTTTTTTTTAATTATTTATTTATTTATTATAAGTCCATGATAGAGTTTCATATGTTCTAATTATTATTCTATGACTTAGTATTGTTAGTAAAATACTAAGTCAATGCC